GAACAAAGCGCAGTGCTGGGGTTTGAAATTCAGGGAAAGTTAGGTTAAAAACTGCAGTATTCTCTCCCTGGGCAGTTAGCTGTTCCCAGGGGCCTGCGGTTGTCTGTCTCTCTGGGAACACAATGGCCCTGATGCCTCCACTTGTCCCCAGGCGGTGGCCTTTAGTGGTGCCCCAGGGAGTCAGCTGTCTCTCCCCGGAGCCAGGACGGGCCTTATCTGTAGTTTCCGAAACCATAGCTTTAACATATGCATTCCTTACTAGACTTATAATTACTTACCTTAAACTAAGATTTTCCAACTCTGGCGTCCTCTATTAGAAGGAGATAAGAGATGGAGGGAGACCTGTGGACGCCGGGAGGAAGAGGCTTGCAGGCAGGAGCAGCGGTAGGTGCAGAGGTCCTGAAGCGGAAACGTGTCCGACACAGTGAAGGAGCTGCAGGGTGGCCGGTGTGGCTGGAGCAGAGTGAGAGGCACAAGCTAGAAGCTGAATCAGCCAGACCACCCAGGCCTTTGTAAGTCATAAATTCAAGTCGTTGGCTTTAACGCTGAGTGAATTGGAGAAGCCAAAGGACAGAACCCGGTCCATGTTTTATGAAGATCATTCCAGTGTGGGGTGGAGAAGGAAAACAGGAACACCAGTTAGAGGGCTGCTCAGGTGCGGGCGGTCCTGGTGGCATCCAACACGGTGGCGTTGGTGTGACATGGTGATGTTCAGAGTGCTTTGAAATTACACCTGCTGAATGGCTAAAAATACAAGACTCTTAACATGTGCTGTCCACAAGAGACTCACTTCGGATCAAAAGACACACTGACTGAAAGTACAGTAGTGGAAAAAGATATCTCATAAAAAAGGGAATGAAAAAAAAGCTGGGGTAGCAACACTTAAACCAGACCAAATAGACTTCAGAACAAAGGCCCTAACACAAGACAAAGAGACACCCAGCAAATCCAACTTCGTTGTCTTTTGGGAATTTGTCCAAAGAAAACAAACACTAATTTGAAAAGGTGTGTGCACCTCTATGTTCATTGCAGCATTATTTACAATAGCCAGGACATGGAAGCAACCCAGGTGTTCACCAATAGATAAATAGATAAAGATGATGTAAGATTATATATGTGTGTGTGTGTGTGTGTGTGTGTATAATAGAATTTTACTCAGCCATAGAAAAGAATGAAATCTTGCCATTTGAGACAACATAGGTGGATCTACAGAGCATCTTCTTTTTAAAGATTTTATTTATTTATTTTTAGAGAGCAGGAAACGGAGGGAGAAAAAAGGAGAGAAACGTCAAACGTGTGGTTGCTTCCTGTGCTCCCTGCACTGGGGACCCAGCCTGCAACCCAGGCATGTGCCCTGACTGGGAATCGAATCAGCAGTCCTTTGGTTCACAGACCAGTGCTCAATCTACTGAACTACACCAGCCACGGCTGGACCTAGAGAGTATTATGCTAAGTAAAATAAGTCAGAGAAAGACAAATACTTTGTCATTTCACTTACATATAGGATCTTTAAAAACTAAACAGGTGAACAAACAATAGAGACTCATAGATACAGAGAACAAACTGAGTTGCCAGAGGGTTGGGTGATGGGAAGACGATGGGCAAAAAGGTGAAGGGGATTCAGAGGTACAAACTTACACTCGAGTAAGTCGTGGGGACATAGAGTACAGAAGGGGAAATGCCAGTCAATATCTCAATGCCTTTGTATGGTGACAGGTGGTTACCAGACCATCTATTTGGTAAGGTAGATAAATGTCAAATCACTATGTTTACATATGAAATTTCTATAATATTACATATCAACTATACCTTAATAAAAAAGAGCTTTATGTTCCAGAATGAAAGAAAATTGAAAGTAGAGCCACCTGGATTTACGAATATGAGTGATGAACTGTGATAGGAAGAGACAAGTCAACGGTTCTTTTTTTTTTTTTATTGATTATGCCATTACAGTTGTTCTATTCCCCCCACCTCCGTTCCCCTCCACCCTGCACAACCCTCCCCCACCATTCCACCCTTTAGTTCATGAACTTGTGTCTCAAGTTCTTTAGATTCTGTATTTCCCCTACTATTCTTACCCTCCCCTCTATTTTCTATCTACTGTCTATGCTACTTATTTTCTGTACCTTCTCCCCCCTTCTCCTCCTCCCACTCCCCTGTTGCTAACCCTCCACGTGATCTTCATTTCTATGGTTCACTTCTGATCTAGCTGACCTCTTAATTTGCTTTTGTTTTAGGTGTGGTTGTTGATAACTGAGTTTGCTGTCCTTTCACTGTTCATCTTTTTTATCTTCTTTTTCTTAGATAAGTCCCTTTAACATTTCATATAATAAGGGCTTAGTGATGATGAACTCCTTGAATTTGGTCTTATCTGAGAAGCACTTTATCTGTCCTTTCATTCTAAATGAAAGCTTTGCTGGATAGAGCAATCTTGGTTGTAGGTCTTTGAATTTCATGACTTGGAATACCTCTTTCCAGCCCCTTCTTGCCTGTAAGGTCTCTTTTGAGAAATCAGCTGACAGTCTGATGAGAACTCCTTTGTAGGTGACTGTCCCCTTAGCTCTTGCTGCTTCTAGGATTCTCTCCTTCATTTTAATCTTGGCTAATGTAATGATGATGTGCCTTGGTATGTTCCTTCTTGGGTCCAACTTCTTTGGGACTCTCTGAGCTTCCTGGATTTCCTGGAAGTCTATTTCCTTTGCCAGATTGGGGAAGTTCTCTTTTATTATTTGTTCAGATAAGGTTTCCACTTGTGACTGTTCCTCTTCCCCTTCTGGTACTCCTATAATTCGAATGTTGGAACGTTTAAAGATGTCCTGGGGGTTCTTAAGCCTCTCCTCATTTTTTTGAATTCTTGTTTCTTCCTTCTTTTCTGTTTGGTCATTTTTTCCTTCCTTCTGGTCTAGTCCCTTGATTTGAGTCCCAGTCTCCTTTCCATTACTATTGGTTTCCTATGCATTACCATTCATTTTGATTAGTTTAGCCTTCATATGTTTCTCTAATTTGTGACTAAAATCAACCAGTTCTGTGAGAATCCTGATCACAAGTGTTTTGAACTGTGCATCTGAAAGTTTGGCTATTTCTTCATCACTTAGATTTATCGGCTCTGGGGCTCTGAGTTGTTCTTGAGTCATGTTTTAATCTGTTTGTGCCTGTTATGTTTGAGGAGCAGAACCTTAGTTGTTTACCAGGGCGGGGCCACCCAGGTCGCTGGTTTCTGACGCTGTATGTGGGGGCGGGGTCAGAGAGGGAGCAATGGCGGTCCTCTCCGCCTGCCTAGTCCGTCCCACTGCTCACCCTGCCTGTTTATCTGAGCGGAAATGTGCGAGCCCGCCGCCCCGCCGCCCTGCGCCATGCGGTCTCAATGCTCGCCTCTTCACTGGTTTATGTGCATGCAATTGCTCAACCGACCGCAGACAGCCAGCCTCGCCTCTTCACTGTGTCCGCCCGTAGTTAGCCTGCACCTGGGATCCGTGCCTTTGGCTGCTTGTGCACCACCCTGGTCGGGGATCTTTTTGGCCAACCCGCTCCGCTGCTGGCTTCACCCCTCTTACCGGTTTAGCTGAGCATTTCGTTGTCTTCGGACTCCATATTGTCAATTTTCTGTGTGGTTTGGTTGCATTTATTGTTGTTAAAACTTTATTATTTTTAGATTTGGTTATGCGCAGGCGCAAGGTGTTTCCACCTACGCCTCCATCTTGGCGGAAGTCCCAAGTCAAGGGTTCTGGCCAGAGGACCTAGAAAGGTACAGCTGCCATACAAGGCCATGGGAAAGCCAAAGGGAGGGGCGGGTTTGGGGGAGAGAGCAGGTCATCTATCTGCTGTGTCATTCTAGGTAAGTGGCTAAACCATTCTGAATCTCAGTTTCCTCATTTGTATAATGGTTATAATAATTGCCCCCCTTTGCAGAGTGGTGGTGAGAATTAAGAGCAATCATGAATTCACAGGCTTGGCACACACGTGCACCCAATAGGCATTCCTCCCAAAGCCCAGGGATGACACGTGGCCATCACGTATCTTCAGGAAGAAACTGGAAGGAGAGCAAGACAATGCCTATAAATCTGTACTGCAGTGCCTGCTTCCTCCAGGCAGAAGTGGAGCAGGCCTTTCAGATAGTTCAGTTTTCTTTCTTCAAGGTCTTCGATGGTTTTGGAGATGTGATGGTGCCGGCTGGTGGTGGAATGATGACAGACGGTCATATCCCCAAGGCTAGGCTGAAGCTTATAAAGTACTTTCATGACTATTATCTCATCTGAGCCCAGCAAGGCAGAAATTATATCCATTTTATAAAGTAGGAAAAACAAAAGAAACCCAGGCTGTCTCTAGATCTTGCTACCTCATGGAATCGCATTTAATCTTGCAGGGGAAAGTAGGTGAAGAGCATCCTGAGGTGGGTACTCTTCTTCCCGTCCCTCAGCGGCAGTGCCGCCCAGCTCTGTCCAGCCGGGCCCAGCTGTGAGATGCACTGCGACCCCGCTCCTTCACCCCCGGTGAGGGCCCGCAAACGCCTGCCCGGGGCCTGTTCCCCCTTGCTCAGCCACTCTGAGCGCACTCATGGTGTCTGGGCTGCAGTCTCACTGCTCCTGAGGCTGGGCAAAGGCATCTCATCCACAGTCCCATTCCAGTTAGTTACTCCTCCTGGCCACCCCCAGAGACTGAGGTAACTGAGGAGGGGACCAGAGCTCCAAAGAATGAAGAATCAACTTGCAGTCATCTCATTAGAAAGTGCAACCTGGCCCTGGCCAGGGAGCTCAGCTGGTTAGAGTGTCATCCTGATACACGAAGGTCATGGGTTCGATCCCCGGTCAGGGCACATGCATAAATAAATGGAACAACAACTCAATGTTTCTTTCTCTCTCTCTCTGCCAAAAATTTTTTTTTTAATTAAAAAAAAAAAAGAGCTGGGAAGAGAAAACAACAGGCATGAGATCACATTTAAAGTGCAGTCTGGGTTCCAACTCTGAGGTCTGAACCCTGCAGGGAGAATTCCTGCATCTGTTCCTGCCACTTCTTACAGCCCAGCTGTCCCCTCCCCTCCAGACACCAAGTGCCAGCACACAGCTGTCTCTTCTCGGCTCCCACCCCGACAAGCCGTCCAAGGTGGGGCCAAGTTGGGTGGGGCAGCCCCCCCCACCATGTATCCAGTGCCGTGTGAGGCCGTGTCTCCACAGAGGTTGCTTCTGAGCAGTGGTTCTGACTGGTGAGAACTGCTGCCCACGGGGTGGGGGGTTGGGAGGGTAAGACGTGTCAGCTCAGGGTGGGTCAAGGCTCCCCGTCCCTGACAAAAAAAAAAGAAAATTTAGAATTGTCTGGGGAAGCACTCTTCCTGGATTGAGGGAGAAGGGATGGAGAAGGTCGGGAGAGTGTGCAAGAGAACAGGGTGGAGGAGGGAAGGGTGTAGGGAACAATAGCAGCCCCTGGGGCCTGGGTGTGGCGGGGCTGTAGGCCCTCGTCCCAGCTTTACTCCCCAGGGAGAACCCTCCTGACCCAGATACTACCTCACCAAGAGAACGGGCTTCAGGAAAGCAAATGTGATCCGCGCATTGAGGTTTAGGAATGAGAGGGTGGAAACAGAAGGGGATGGGAATTCTGCTTAAAACCTGATGTCTTTGGCAGGTGAGCAGGGAGCAGGAAAGGCAAGCCTGGGTTCTGGATCGTTTTTGAAGTCCCTGACCCAGCCATGCCTGTGCCGCTGCTCCCACTGCTGCTTCGAACGCTGCTGTCTCGCCTGCTGCTGCCTGCCGCCCGCCTGGCCCGCCAGCACCTCCTGCCCCTGCTGCGTCAACTGGCCCGCCGCCTGGGCTCCCAGGACATTCGAGAGGCTTTGCTGGGCTGTCTGTTGTTTGTCCTCAGCCAGAGACACCCGCCAGATGCTGGAGTGGCTTCCAGAGCAGCCAACCCTGAGAGGAGGAAGAGGCTAGCCCCGGAAAAATGAGGCCGTGAGTCCTGGTAGCAGCAGGAACCAAACACTTGCTTTGGGAGTAAGACAGTCCTGGCAACATCACTGACGGAAGCCTGCCCAATGGGCATTAGATACGATTCAGGGCTGAGCATGAGCCGGTCTGACCAAGACATGCCTCCCGGCTCCAGCAGCAATGACTGGAACCATGCGGAAAACCGAACTTTTCCTGTCCTTTCTGCATTCCTCAAGACCTTGTCTAATCACCTGGGGCTTCAGCAGGGAAAGGAACGGACTCTCCCGTCTCTCCCTACCCCCAGACATATGGGGGCCTGAGATCCTGTGAGGGGCAATCCTTAACCCAGGAACAACTGACAATTTAGTGGAGAGGCAAGATCTTAATCCTGTTTTCCAGACCCAGGATTTGCCTTAGAAGAATAAGCATTGATTCCCCCAGAGAATCAGTCCTGCTCCCAAAGCCTAGCACGCAGTAGGTGTTCAATAAATATTTTTGAATTCCTGGAATGCCTTTGAAATCCTTGCCAGGCCCACTCCTGTCTGCGCTGCAAGGCCGTGTCACCTGGCCAGTGGGTAAGGGTGGGGAAGAACTCCAGGCCTCCTCTGATCCCCATTCTGTCGTCCCTGTTGGTGCTCATCTCCTGGAAATCGTTTCTGTCGTCTCATTCCAGTCAGCCACGCGCCGCCCCGGCGGTCCTGGGCCTCTCTGGGAGAGGGTTTGGTTGTTCGGCCCACGGTAAGGAGGAAAACATCCCTGGCAGCGTCTGGAGACTCTTCTCAGCAAGTGGTGGTGGAAAGAGGGAGATTTGTTAACTCAGGGACCCTGAGGACAGCCCCTCAGGGGAAGGGTGCAGAACTGTAAGTTCCTGCAGAGATGGGGTGTGGGGGGTAACCCCAGGAACCCACCTCTTCATTTCCTCCTCTCCCAATGGAAGGCACTTCAGGGATCGAATAAGGGTTGTCAGATGTATTTGCATTTCAGCCTCCGGATAATTTGCTTAGGGGCTCCCTAGCAACAGTCTTTCCTCGCTCCTTCCACCAGCTTTACGATCCGAGGGGGGCAGTGAGGAATATAGGGATCTTACGGGACCAACCTCGCCCCTAATCCGATTCCCACAACGGTCAGAAGCTGGGGCCGGGGGGAAGATCCGAGACCAGAGCCGTGCGCCCCCTCCCAGGCCTGTGGGGCTTTCCGCCAGACACCCGCCTCCCCACCGCCCCGCCATCTGCTTCCTCCTGGAGTCCTCAAAAGGTCCTCTCTCGCAAAAGCAGCCTGGGGGGGAGGAGCGGAGCGAAGCGGGTGAGAGCCCCTGGTCCCCAAACACCGTTCCCCTCAGGGGTCATGGGCGCTTTTTCCCCCCACCCCGACGCTCCAGACCTTCTCCCCCCGGCCTCCCTCCCTCTCTGCCGGTCTCCCTCCGAGGCGCTCTCAGCTCGGAAGGGAAGCCAGGCGGGACGGAGCGGGCCGCAACCCCTCTCCTGTCCGGCGGCAGAGACAGGTCTGACCCGGCCCGGGCCGCTTTCACCGGCTACCGCCCCAGCCCCCAGGTGAGCGGGCCAGGAGGGCGGCTAGGGCCCCGCCAGCCCGAGAATTTCCGTTCTCCATCCCCAGCTCAGCCTGCCCCTGCAAGGTCTCTGCAGGTGTGTGGGGAGCAGAGGCGGGGCAGTGGGGTGGGGGTGGGGTGGGCGGGGTCTGAGCTGTTTCCCAGCGGCCTAGAGAGGCGGAGAGGTGCAGGTAGGGCCCTGGTTGGAGTGGGGATATCGGCGGAGTCGGAATCTATGGTTTCTGGCGGAGGGGTTATTTTATGGGACTTTGAAGGCTGCAGTTAGATGACTGTTCCTTAACCCCAGCCCCAAACATACAGATCACGCAAGGTCAGAGACCCACCTAGAGCAGAGGGGAGGGGCTGAGAAATTAGGCTGGAGGGGGCAAGCCCAGACCCAGTGAACAGAGAGCCCCCATCCACTCGAGGAAGGTGAGGTGAGTCTGACCCTGTGAGAACGAGACTCTGTCTTTATTTTCAGTGTTGATGTTTTGTTCGTGCATGTTTCTTTTGCATTGACCTTGATTTTTTAAAATACTGCATTAAAATATTGATCTTGATTCCTGGACTTTTTGGCACCCCCTTAAATTCTGTACCTCAGTCACATTGCCTCATTGGCCTTGCGCTAGTCTCAGCCCTGTTGCCGGGCTATGGAGGTAGGGTCACAGACACAAACTGAGGAGGCACAGTCATGAGACTCTGCCCTGGTGACAAAAACAAACACTGGGCTGAGCGAACACACTTCCAGCAAAGAGACAAACACAAGGTTGGGGGAAGAGAGGCCTGTGTGGGGGTTCAGGCAGGCCTGGATGGGGGAGGAGGGAGTCTGGGGCAAGTCGCAGTGTTCAGTAGGGTAGGAGTGGGGAACTCGATCCAGCCCTCCTCACCCCACTCCTAGGCCAAGGATCCGAGGGAGCCCAGGGAGGAAGAGGGCCATTAGACTGGGCAGAGGGCGACTAGGACTGCCTTGGCCCGGCTAGAAAAACTCCAGGCACAGGCCAGTGTGAGCTGGGCTCTACTGATGCCGTCCACAGAAGTCCCTGGCATCTAGCAGTCATCTCCGCCACGGAGGAGGCTCTGGAGGGGTGTGGGTGCTGGCTGAGGGCCCGAGCAGGGTGTGTGCCACATGGGCTTCCTTCCAGCACTAACAGACCTGATTGTTGCCATCTCGGGAGCAGGCCAGACTTCAGCAGCGGTAAACAGAGGAACCAGCCTCCGCTTTCTGGCCTAGGACCCTCACCACTTCCCTCCAGCTTCTTTCCACTTCCAGCCCCCTTTGTACACACTGCAGTCTTGGCTACCAGCCTAACCATGCCTGGCGGATCTGTCTGACCACTAAGGCTTGCCACCCCCGCAGGCCCAGAGCTGGGCAATAAAGGTGGGGAAAGACACAGGGGCCAGGAAAGGGGAGAGGAGAGCCAGGAGAGGAAGAGAGAGAGACTGGACAAACACAGGATAGGAATGGGGAGGGAGATCCAAACATGAAGCTGCCCTTAAGCCATGGTACCGTGCCTAAAAAAATACCATCGATACCCTTCTTCCTGCCCTCTGCTTGTTTAAGCCTGGGGGAGGATGGCGTGTTGTGTCTCTGTGGGACAAGGAGCTGGAAGTCTGTGGGACAAGGAGCTGGAAGTCTGGGAACACCCCTTCTGGGGTAGTGTGGGAAGTGTCCACTGATTCTAAGTAGAAAGGCTACCCCTCACCTCAGGGTCCAGTCTGACCTCTGGGGAGATGGTGTGATTCTGCCTTATCCCTATGATGTTAGGGAGACATGATAGTGAGAGGCTGGGAAAGTTCCTTGGCAAGTAGACTAGGGACGCTGAGACAGACGGCTGAACACAGTGGTTTAGCAGTTCACGGCCAGGTGCAGACTGTCACCAGGGCAGAAGGCCCCAAGTGCCTGGCAGGGGGCAAAACTAGGAAAACAAGGACCTTGCCCCCAAGGTAACCTTTCCTCCCTGGAGATGACATCTAGTCCTCAGTTGTTTAGGCAGCAAAAACCAGGCGGGCGATGTCAGAACCAACTGCAACAACTAAAGACCCCCTGCCCTCACTGACCAATCAGTGGAGACCATGACGCTGTCAGGGCCCACGGGGAGAACTGATGAATATTCTGCTGAAACCCTCCCCTGAGACCTGCTCTAAAATTCCTGAGAGAGAGAGAGAGAGAATTCGAGCGAGCTAGTGGAAGAGAGAGAGAGAGAGAGAGAGAGAGCGCCTCAAGACAAAGGCCCCAGCTCTCACTCTCCTTCTGGAGAGGAGCCCATACCATTTCTTTTCCCCTCACCTTCCCCCAACCCCCACTTCTTTCTTCACAGGCATGTGGCTCTTACACTCTATCAGGGGTGTCCAACCTGCGGCCGTGGGCTGCATACGACTCAGGATGGCTGTGAATGCAGCCCAACACAAAATCATAAATTAACTTAAAACATTATGAGATTTTTTTTTTGTGATTATGCATCGCAATGTATTGAATGTGTGGCCCAAGACAACTCTTCCTTCAGTGTGGTGCAGAGATGCCAAAAGGTTGGACACCCCTGCAGTCAATGGTCCGCAGCAGCTTGTCCCAAGCTGATCCCTGAACTTGTCCCCAAGGCCCCCTTTGCTCTGACTTCCCAGTGAGAATGCAGCACAGCCAAGGCTCCCCTGGTGCTTTTTCTATGCTGAGCCCTTTCTTGTTTCACCGTCCCCAGCTTTAATAAATGGATCCTCATAGTCACTTGGACTCCTGTTGTGAAATCTTTCCCACACGAAGTCAAGAACCCACACACTGCAGTTGGCCGTAGGCAGACGCGCTCGGCCAGCCCCCCCTGGTGACAGTACTCCTAATTGTTCATTAGTGTCTGTGGCTCCTCCAGGGTACAGGCCTCTTGGGTAGGTAGTGGGGATAGGGCGGGGACTCGAGTAGATTTGCTCTCCTCAGGACCTCTCTAGCCTTTGGATTGTCCTCTAGCCCTGAGAGCTGCTGCAGGGCCAGTGATTCCCCGCGCCCCCAAATCTACTAACCAACAAAAAGGAGTGAATCCCTTCCCCCTCCCTTGAAGGTACAAGAAGGACTTCTGTACATGCCCACCCCCCTTCCTGGAGCAGTGGAGGATGTGGGACTTGGAAGTATCAGGACCATAGGATCACTCGGTGTGTAAGGCTGTTTCCTGCTTTTTTTCTTCCTATCCTCGACTGGGTCCCAGTCTTTCCAAAATTCTGAATTTAGAAAAAGTGAATCACGAGGGGCTACAGGGCTGTGCCTCTGCTGTCGACCCACACACAAAACCAGGAATCCCTCTTCAAGTCGAGGGTTGCGGGGGGCCGTGTTTGGGTGGGTGTGTGGTCCGTGTGTGTTAGAGGCGAGAAAACCCACCTTGCAGGTCACTGACTGTGTCGGAGTGATGCCAAGGCACGGTGGGGTCCAGGGCGAGAGAGGAAATATCAGGACAAGTCTGAAGGGAAGAAAGTAACCCTGAAAAGGGAAGGGGGTCGCTGTTAAGGAAAAAGGTGCACCATGGAAGAAAGTGGCCTGAGAGAGTGTGTGGGGGGTGATAATGGAGCATCTGAGGGAGAGTAGGGACATGGGGGCCCCGGGGCCTGTCTGGCAGGTTTGTTGCCGGGAGAACCCTGAGATGAATTCTGTAGGATTTGTGCAGCCCCAGTGCGGAGGAGACTAGGGGTACCCGCGTGGGGCTCTACCCCCCCCCCACGCCATCTGCTCCCTAACGGGGCAGGCAGGGTTTGCTGGAGCGGACTTTGATGGGGCCGGGCCCAGAGAGGTCCTAGCTACAGAAACTAACAAGGCTCGTGTGGACCAGGCGGCCCTGGGAGGGGTAAGGTCCGGAGTAGGGGCTTGTTCTGGGCCGGGTGCAACTGGCAGGGACGGTCGGGGCGTGGCCCCGAGGGCCTGCGGCCACTGGGGGGAGCGGGAGGGGGCGGAGAGCAGGACGGGGCGGGGGCACCCTGCGCGGGAAGCAGCCAGGGGGCGGTGGGAGCGGCGTGGTAACGCGCGGATTTTCAGCGCCAGAGGACTCCTTCACAGTAGGTGTTGCCCTGCTCCGGGGGTCTGGGGTCCAGAGACCAACCGGGCGGAAGGCACTGTTTTCCGCGTTCTAGGGCAGGGAAGCGGGGCCTGGCCTACCGCAGAAGATACGCGGGGCGGGACCCCAAGTGCGGAGTGTGCCCAGCAGCGCAGCACGTGGCTGGCGTGGCAGGGGGCTAGAAAAAAGGTGCAGTGTGGAAGAAAGGGGCGTGGGAGGGAAACCCGAGCCAGGCGGGAAGACCTGGCTCCCGGCTTAAAACCGGCTGTCGCGGAGCTGACCTCTGCAAAGGCGAATAGATGGTTAATCTCGGTACTGGGGAGGGGAGGGCTGAGGGCTCCCGGAACGGAGGAGCTGTCTCTTTAACCCCCGCTTTTAATCGGCCGAACTCTGCCCCTGGCCTCTCCTTTCTGTGTGGGGCCTCATTTACTCTTCCCAGGGGAGAGCAGTGGTGGGTGAGGGCTGGTCCCATCCTCCCCCTCGCCTCTCTTGGGGTGGCCCCTCTGCCCATTTTTCTGGTAACCTTTAGGTCCTCCCATTTGTACTACTGCCGCGTGAGCGCTTCTTGCCAGGATGTATGTGTAATGGCGGGGTGGGGGCGTTCCTTACTCCTGACACTCATGTCAGGCCGGAGGCTACCTTGGCCCTCACCTTGCTTTTCCCCCTTAGCTGGAGTAGAGCATCCCCACCTCCCAGTGTATAGGACTAGCTGAGAAGCAGCCTTCATACCTCCCTCTCTACCCCAGAAGAAGCCTAGAATAAGCTGCAGGTCGAATTTGAATTTCAGCTCAAAGAACCTTGGTTGCCCCCCATCTGTTAAATGGAGACAGTTTAGAACTAGCATGTGGGTCATTGTGAGAGAAAGAAGGGGTATTTGCAGGCTGGTCCCATCTGAGATCGTGGGGAGTGGAGAATTTGATACTACCGCAAGGGCGTGTCTGGATGCAGGGGCACCAGAGGTAGGTGTTAGGAGCCTGAGTTTTGGTGGCTGCTTTCAGGGCCCCATCTGAGCAGGCCAAAGCATGGCTGGAGGCACACCTGATGCTCTGAGCTGGTAATTTGCTGCTGGGCAAAGAAGACATAGCCCTGGCTGGTGTCGCTCAATGGGTTGAGCACTGGCCCATAAACTAAGAGGTCACTGGTTCTGTTTGGGGCCCATGCCTAGGTTACAGGCCAAGTCCTGCCTTGGGGTGTGAGAGAAGCAGCTGATGGATGTTTCACTCCCTCTCTTCCTCCTTCCCTCCCCGTCTCTCTAAAAAATAAATAAGATCTTTTTTTAAAACTAGGAAGATGAAAATAAAACACCTGGACTGGTCTGCTGTTAGGATGTCGGGGGGGGGGGGGAAGGGGCTGCCCCCGGAGTTGAATTGTGCCCACCCCGGGGGATGGGTTTGCTGAGAGCAGAAAGCCAGACATGGATGAGGGAGAGGACAGAAGTTTATTCTCTGCGCTTAGGGCAGATTTCACCAAGAAAGGGGAGGTGCCCTATTCTCTCCACCCGGTCTCTGGTCTGGTTTAGAACTGCACCTGCTTTTTACTGCCAGGAACGTTGTCTGGGGGGTGGAGAGGAGCACAGGGTGAAAAGCGGTCTCCTCTGTCCACTGCCCCTGATCCCAGGTAGAGCCCTCTTGCTCCTATCCCCCTAGAAAATGTAAAAGGTTGTTCACTCTGTCCTCAGTGTTTAGAACGGTGCCTGGCCAGCCTGCAAAGGTCATCAGTAAATGTTTGTTGAAAGGCTAAATGCAAGAAGCCCTTTGCCTGCAGGTCGAGATGGGTGGGTCTGCTCCCCCTCCTCTAACACACAAACACAACCCAGGTATTGGGCTGGGAGGGCTAAGAAAGGCTTTGGAGTGTCTGGAGTTGACCCAGGGATATTGAGAGGACCGGGACTGCTAGAGGGCTTAGGGTCCCTGCAGGTGTCTGTCTGTCTTGGGCTGGGACCTCCAGCACTGGCTGTGCTCAAGTTGACCCACTCCCTCAGCTCCCCTGCTGAGGCTGTTGGGTCTGTTATCTCCCAAGCTGCAAATGTGGTTTTTCTTATCTCCCTGGTTGACTCGTGTGTGAAGCTTCTCAGAATCAGGCAGCTTTCTCCTACAGCAAGGTCTGGGGTTTCTCTCCGCATGTGCTTTGGACCTTAGCTAGGGGAAGTCCATGGACAAGTCCTGCTGCCTGAGCTGGAGCTAGGACCACCTTCCAGGGACTGCCCAGGACGCCTGTTCTCGGCTCTTCTGCTGGCAAGTCCGAGCAACCGGTGAGTGCTGGCCCATATGGGCCATGAGGGAAGCCAGTCGTCCTGGCTCCGCAGCTAGTCCTTCACGTTGGGGCTGCACCAGCACGCACCTGCCTTGCTTTCCATGCCATCCAAAGGGAAAGCCGTTTTATCTGCTGGTGCCGAAGAAGTCCTAGCTACAGAAATAATACAAGGGTGGGGGGAGCAGGGAGGGACGCTGAGGCAGGAGGCTAAGAGCTTTGGGATAATGCCAGTTATCAGGCCTGTGCTCCCGCCCCACCCCCAATCTTCCCTTCAAGTTTGCACTCAGAAAGGGGAAGGTATAGAGGCCTGGAATGAGAGAAGAACCAAGGGGACTGGAGGGGGATGGGGTGAGTCGGGCCAGGGCTGGGGTCAGGGGAGAGGTCGAGCTAGGCTGTGAAAAAGGCTGTGTCCCACGCTCATTGAAAAGTGTTTTCCTGGAAAAGTGACCAGGAACTGGGAAGTCCCTGGGCAGTGGCAGGAAGGGAAGGTTAAGGTGCCACCAGCAGAGGGGCTGGAGTCGGGTACCTCCGGGAGGGGACACGTTCTCAAGAGCCCACCCTAGTCCAGGGGCTCCCCAGGAGAGCAGAGAGGTCAGATTGAACGGACACAGGCCCTGGAGGGGGCGGCCTCTTGGGCTCCGCCTCAGTCCTCACCCCTGTGGCTGCTGCTCCTGCAGATGTTTGTTTTGTGCCCTCCCTCCACCATCTGCTCTGTCTCTGCTGTTCTCCTCCTCCTGTCCCTCCTTCTGTTGTCGTCACTGTCCCTAACCCCTCTCGTCCCCTTCCCTGCCTTTGCCTGTCTTTCCCAACCTCTCAATCAGACGTCCTCGTCTTCTTCCTCCTCCTCCCCTGCTCTCCACCCTCCGGTTTCCCAGCGTACGAACAGCTTCGCTGCTGGGTAAAAATAGCGGTGGCAGCGGCCAGGCCAGGCCTGCTGCCAGGTAGAGCCTGAGCAGGCAGGGAGGCCCAGGACTGGCCTGAGGGGTCAGATTGAGCAGTCCTGAGAGGCAGGGTCGGGAGGGTGTCCTGCTGAACTCTAGCACTTGCCAGCTGTTTGCCCTGCCCCTTCCTACCCCCCAAGAGTCTGAAGAGGCCTGTGGGGAAGCAGGGCGAGACAAGGCCTCACACTGCTGCCCCAAGAGAGCCTCAGAAGAAGACAGCTGTCAGCCAGGCAAAACCAAGACCGCCGTCACCATGACAACCAATCAGCAGCCTCAGGACAGGTACTGGGAGACCTGGGCTGGGGACCCAGGGCAGTGGAAATGGGTCTCCAGGGGGCTGGATGTCATGTGCTTGGAAATTTGGAGCTGTCACTTGCTGATTGGCCTTTCAGCTAGTCAGCCGTGAGTCAGGTCTGTGTGGGGGCAGGGACCATGCGTGTCTTGGTGGGTCCTGGCTGGGGCGTCTGTGGGGAGGGCCGGGATGAGTAGATGGCAGCCCCTCCCTGGTCTGTCAGTGTTTCCACTGCTGCTCTCCAGCCAGCCGGCAGCTGCTGGCCCCTCCCGCCACCTCCATGGGGAGATGTTTGGCAGCACCCGTCATTCCAGAGCACATCTGGCAGAACTCCCCCTCTCTCAGAGTGGCCTCTATTTCACATGACCTTGGCCCACCCTGGTCGGTGCTGCGACCTTCCTCTCCCTTCTGCACCTCTGGAGCCTGCGAACTCCCGGGCCTGCGTGCGTGATCGTGCATTTGTGTTTCGGGATAAGAGGCTGTAGCTTGATTCAAGTTCTCCAAGGAGTCCAGGACCCAAGAAAGCTTCAGATCCAAAGCTCTTCAACCCACCACCTCTTCCAGCCCATTCTGTCTCCCTCCTATGCCAAAGGCCATAGAACTAGACCACTTCTAGCTGTGGGACCTTGGGCACGTAGCTTGATCTCTCTGGGACCATTTCCCACCTGTAAAACAGAGGTGAGGTTTATCTGGATGGGAGAGAATTTAAGGAGACAGTAAGTATAGGCCCCTCCCTCCCTTGTCCCTACTCTCGGCTGCCTGCCTGCACCTTCCCAGCCTCACCACTCCCAGCTGTTCTCCGAAACCTTTCATCTCCATCACCTGTGGCACTCATCCAGCCCCACGCCGACCCTCTATTGTATATGACCTTGACTGGGAGTTTCTCCCTTCATTCTGGGTCTCTGAACCAAGCCTTTAATGGTGTATGAGGGCTTTGGGGGGCTGCACTTGTAATAACCCAGACCTGCCCCAGGGGGCGCTAACCCGGGCCCTCCCTGCCTTGGGCTTTGTCCCTGCCATCTCTGAAGAAAGAGATGTCGGCTGCGGAGGAGGTATGGCAGGCACATCTGGAGACCACAGTGGCTGGACCTGGGGCTGCCTGACAGAAGCTGGCCGGTCTCAGACAGGCCCCGAGGTGTACAGCTTGGGGCTGTGCCCTGGCAACAGCTGGGGTGGCACTTATTTACACCCTGGGGCCCAGATGACCTCCAGTGGCCGGATACCCCCTGGCCTATCTAGGTGGTGTGACCCACAAAGCTGGTTCTGTCTGGGCCAGGAAAAAACAGTCCCTTCATTTTCCAGCTGCCCCAAGGCACCCCGCCTGCCTGCACTGCCTGGTCCAGAATGGTCCGGGACTTTCTTGACCTCAGGATCCTCTTTGGGGAGCCACAGAATTCCCGCTCCGACTCGGCCCACAATCACTTCCAGCTCGCCTGGTGGGCGGGGGTGGAAGACAGCTGCTGTTTGCTTTCTCACTCACCCTCCACTCCCAGCCAGAACAGCAGGATTTCCAAACTGCCTGCAGACATGTGGTCACAGTGGTTCCCAAGTGTGCAGGGTCCCGAGTCTTTTGGGGGCTGGGAACCACTGTCCCCCAGCCCTGCCCTTCAGCCCTGGGTTCCTGGTCCTCCTCCCTCTGTGGACTCAGATGGGCCCTTTTCCCTATCCCAGAACACCTCCCCTCACACCCCCCCACAGTGGGACGTAGGCATGTGGACACAAGCACAGACGCCCTGTGCCCTGGGATAGCTGGAGAGACAAGGTCGGGGAGGGATGGGCGTCCCCAGGTTTGATCTGGGAAAGAAGGTGAGATAGTGGGTCATGTGGCTCCTTTTTCCTGTCCCACCTCCAGGTACAAAGCCGTCTGGATTATCTTCTTCATGCTGGGTCTGGGGACCCTGCTCCCCTGGAATTTTTTCATGACAGCCACTCAGGTGGGACTGGGGGCACTGGGCTCCAGGGGGTATGTCCAGGCCTGTAGGGCCTGGATCTGTACTCGTGGGCCAGGGAGAGAGTTGCAACACTCCTCTGAATCCCCCACAGTATTTCACAAACCGCCTGGACCAGTCCCAGAATGTGTCCTCGGTCGCTGCCGAACTGGACAGGGGCGTCCAGGCATCGGCCGCCCCCACAGCACCCTCTCTGAAGAGGAGCTCCCTGAGTGTCATCTTCAACAATGTCATGACCTTGTGTGCCATGCTTCCCCTGCTGCTCTTTGCCTGCCTCAACTCCTTCTTGCATCAGAGGTGAGCGACTGGGCCCAGCCTGCCCCCTGGCTGCCCCCTGCACACTGTCGGCTGCGCCCCGGCTGCCGCCACGCCTCTCTGCCACCTTGGCCTCTCCCCCAGGGTCCCCCAGGCTGTCCGGATCCTGGGCAGCCTGCTGGCCATCCTGCTGGTGTTCCTGATCACCGCTGTCCTGGTGAAGGTGCCCATGGATGCCCTGCCCTTCTTCGTCATCACCATGATCAAGATCGTGTTCATTAACTGTAAGCAGAACTGGGAGGGGACCTGGGGCAGAGATCTTCCCACACACCCCACCCTTCCCGTAGACCAGTGGTCAGCCAGAGAGGAGCCCATGCAGACAACCGGAGGAGATGGAGGCCATGGGCTCAGAGGCCTGGGCAGGAAGGCAACCGAGGCCGGGAGTGGGGGGCAGAGGGAAGGGCCACTGAGCAGCAAGGCCCACTGGCAGCGAAGCAGGACTTACAGGAACCTGTTTTCCCGTGAGCCCCAGATGTCCCCGCTGGAAGGGAGTCCCACGCCGCCCACACCCCTGCTGATGCCTATTGTGTTCCCCCAGCATTTGGTGCCATCCTGCAGGGCAGCCTGTTTGGTCTGGCTGGCCTCCTGCCTGCCAGCTACACGGCCCCCATCATGAGCGGCCAGGGCCTGGCAGGCATCTTTGCCTCAGTGGCCATGATCTGCGCCATTGCCAGTAAGTCTTGCTGTCTGTCTGCCCGTCTGGTTTTTGTGGGGCGAAGGGAGTAGAGCCTGCAGCTCACCTCTGACCCTCCACCCCAGGTGGCTCAGAGCTGGCAGAAAGTGCCTTCGGCTATTTTATCACAGCCTGTGGGGTCGTCGTTTTGACCATCATTTGTTACCTGGGACTGCCCCGGCTGGTGAGCAAAAGGAGAAAGTGGGGGTTTGGGGCCTGGGGAGTCCAGGACTCCAGACCACCGGTGTTCAGAGGCTGAAACTGGGGAGAGGCAGGGATTCTGGAGATCCTGCCTCTGAGTCCACCTCCGTCTCCCTCTCTTGATAGGAATTCTACCGCTACTACCAGCAACTGAAGCTTGAAGGGTCTGGGGAGCAGGAGACCAAGTTGGACCTCATTAGTAAAGGTCTGAATAGCCTGAGGAGCCTGGGGCAGCTGACGGCCTCCCTGGCAGGGGGTAGCTGAGCACAGAAGGCAGGAGTGGGTACACTGTATTTATTGGCAGAGATGAGCCAGAGGCCAGAGGGACCAGGTGGGGTCAGAGGGACTTTGGGAAATAAGAGCTGGGAAAACTAAAATAGGGGGAGGCCCTGGATGACCTCGAATGCTTGAGGACAGTGGATTCTTGGATAAGGTGTAGCATGAGCTGAGGCCCCGGGAGTGGTCAGGACACAGGGACGGGCACGGTGAGGGTTTGAAGGAGGTCTGGGCTGGATGTTAGGGTGCTTCTGTTCACTGTAAGGGGGTGTCCACCCCCCACTAACCCCAGCCCTCTCGGGGAATGGTCATGTCATTTCCTGTTGCTCTGTCCTTCCAAAACTTGAAGATCCTTCCATAACTTGTCACCCCCCAGGAGAGGAGCCAAGAGCAGGCAAAGAGGAGTCTGGAGTTTCAGCCCCCAGCTCTCAGCCCACCAATAAAAGCCACTCAATCCGAGCCATCCTCAAAAATGTGCGTGGGGCCTGGGTGTCTTGCCCTCTACCCCTCACCCTCTTTCTCTCCTCATTCCCCCACCCACTCTCCACTCACCTCCACACACCCATTCCATCCCTTTCTGACTGACACTGGCCACCCTCCCGGACTCTTCCGTGTGTGCGCGTGTGCACGTGTGTGTTGGTTCTTTAATGCACGACCACCATGAAGACTCGGGGGCCTGGGTCCCTCTCCTCCAGATCTTGGTCCCGGCTCTCTCTGTCTGCTTCATCTTCACCATCACCATCGGGGTGTTTCCTGCCGTTACTGCTGAGGTCAGGTCCAGCATCGCAGGCAGCAGCGCCTGGGGTGAGGACACCGTGGGTTCCCTGAACGGGGATGGACGGGCTCTAGCAGGACTGGGAGTGGGGAAGCGGAGACCCTGGGCTGCCAGCTCCCCAGCTTGACTCTCTTGGTCCACTTGCCCTTCCCTGGCCTAAAAGCATCTCCACTTTACAGCTGGGGACACTCAGCCCCAGTGAGGGTCAAGGCTGCTAAATCTGTCTCTGGACCTAATAACATTACCCTAATGTACCATTCCTTCTCCAGAAAAATACTTCATCCCTGTGTCCTGTTTCCTGACTTTCAATGTCTTTGACTGGCTGGGCCGAAGCCTCACAGCCATATCCATGTGGGTAAGTGGAGGAAGAAGGCACCACGTCCCTGTGAGGGGCGGTGTCCATCCTGAGACTCAGAAAGGGCACCAAGAAAGTATGGTGACAAGGGACCATGTTTTTCAAAAACCAAGGCATTATGTATAGTTAGGAGTACAAGTCACGAGTGTACAGTTTAATGACCATATACACATTCCCTGTATAATCACCAACCAGGTCGAGATGGAGAACATTTCCAGCATTCCAGAAGTTTCTACTCTGCCCTCTCCCCATCAGTACCCATAAGGGTAACCAGGTTTTGAGGTTTCAATGTAGATCCTGAAGGGTTCCATATGCAGCCTGGGGGTCAGGGTGTGCCCCGGGGGGGGGTGGGGGGCAGCCTGGCTGAGGCGCTGCCTGGTCCCCACAGCCTGGGAAGGACAGCCGCTGGCTGCCAAGCCTGGTGCTGGCCCGGCTGGTGTTCGTGCCCCTGCTGCTGCTGTGCAACGTCCATCCGCGCCGACTCCTGCCTGTGCTCTTTGAGCACGACGCCTGGTTCATCGTCTTCATGGCTGCCTTCGCCTTCTCCAATGGCTACCTCGCCAGTCTCTGCATGTGCTTCGGGCCCAAGTGAGTGTTGGGCAGGGTCCAGCGCTCCAAAGGGGGACACTCAACAGAGGGAGAAAGGGCTACAGGAGCCTCCCTGATCCCGGAGCTTAAGGTTTCTAGGCTGAGCAAGAAGTCCACCGGGAGGGGCACCTAGATTGAAGGGGTCACAGGGGACGGGAGTGCAGGGGTGGGGTGCCCAGGCTTGCTTAAGTGGGGTATGGGAGGGCACTCTCAGAGAAGGAGGAACATGGCCCCCGGGCCGTGTTTCCCCAGGAGGGAAAAGCTAGATTAGGATGGGGTGAGTAGGATGGGCTGGTCAGCAGAATCGGGTGCGAGGCAGGTCTCCCCATGCTGGTGCTCTGGGTGGGGCTGGAGTAGGGGTCACCCTAAGGTAACCTTGCGTCCCTCCTTTAGGAAAGTGAAGCCGGCTGAGGCGGAGACAGCAGGAGCCATCATGGCCTTCTTTCTGTGTCTGGGCCTGGCGCTGGGGGCCGTCGTCTCCTTCCTGTTCCGGGCAATTGTGTGACCACGGATGGACAGAGGACTGCACCGGCCACCTGCTCGTGCCCCTTCTTTACCCTTCAGGGATGGGCAAGGGTTGGCTGGAGGTCTTCTCTTCTGGCTGAATTCTGCTTTCTCCAGGCCTGTGCTGGGCCTGGTGTCCAGGCCCCAGGGAGGGACCCTCTGGGTGGATGGACAGTTGGACATGGGAGACATTGGGGTCCACAGGTCAGAGTCAGGGAAGGGGACACGCATATGCTCGGATCCCCCCACACTTGGCTCTGACTGATCCCTACTTGAGTGGATGGCAGAGGCTCCCAGGTTCGGAGAGGGTGTGTCTGTAGGTTCATGTGCCTGTACCAGGGGGGGCGAGGGGCCAGGACCGTCTGTGCTAAGGTCCAGTCCGCTGTGTGCACCCCTCCCTGTGCTTCCTCCCCCAGGCTCTGTCCCTCTGTGCTTCCCCTGCCTTGTATCTACCTGTCATGCACCCTGTACAGTTGCCACACTTTACTGCCTTTTTTTATACTCAACAGAAATCAGGTGCCTTCAGAGGCTCTCTGACTAAATAAACCATTGTATTTTCCCCCACGACTCTCTGTGTCCACCAGCCACGGCTGCCCGCCCTGTAGAGGGCAGAGGGATGGCAGCCTGAGCTGGGGGGATGCGCATAACCCAGCCCGGTCTTGGCCATCGCCAGGTCTAGGTCCGAGGTTGGGGGGTGGAGGTGGGTTCGTCCTCTTAGTCTTAGAGAGGCTGCAGTGTCCTCTGCAGGGGAAACAGAGGAGGGAGGGGCCTAGAGCCAGGACACTCAGACTTGGCTGAGACCAAGAAAGGCCATTTTTCTTTGCTGCTTCATTTCTTCTTCCATAAGACTAGGGATGGAGAAAGCACCCACTCTTTTTTTTTTTTTTGTCTTCGCCCCTCCTCTCTGTCCTCACTCATCAGTCCCAGAAATGGATTCTGCAGAACTGGCCAGCTCTCCCACTACGGCCTCCTCCCACCTGGCTCCTGGTTGTACTCCCAACACCTTCTGGCGAGAACAAGCTGCGCCCGAGGGCTCTCCCCTACCTGGCACCCTGCCCTGACACCAAAGCTCGGACCTCCGGGGAAACAAGAGGCCTGTGTGTTCTCACACTGAAGCCCAGCCCTCCCCTTCCCTTTCCAAACTCTGGCCTTGGGAGGGCTGGGATGGTGTGGGACAATGAGTGTCTCAGTGGAGGGGGCCATACCACTGGGTGCCCTGCTCAAAGGTGACTCTTCCTGACGAAGTGGGGCCAGAGGTCTGGCCACTGGAACCCCGTCCCCGCCTCAGTGACCCTGGCCCTCAGCACGTGTCCCAGACTTCCCAGAAGGGCAGGAGGTATTCCTGCACAGCCCAGACTGCTCACTGGTCCCAGACTGGCAGATGCTGCAGAGTTGGCACCTCTGCTGGGGCTTCATTTCTCGGTCTAACTGAATTGAAGGCTCCAGGTCTCGTTATAGGGCAGTTAAGTGTATCACTGTATGGGCACTGGCGCCCTGTACTGCGGTCAAGCCACACTACATACCTGAGGTTGGTGGAAAACAAGGTATTTCTTTCCTATCAGGTTCAAAGTGAGGGGTTCCCTGAGACTTCCCTAGTCTTTTTTTTTTTTTTTTTAAGATTTTATTTATTTTAGAGGGGAGGGGAAGGAGAAAGAGGGAAAGAAACATCAATGTGTGGTCGTTTCTCACATGCCCCCAACTGAGGACCTGGCCCACTACCTAGGCATGTGCTCTGACTGGGAATTGAACCTGTGACCCTTCGGTTTGCAGGCCAGTGCTCAATCCACTGAGCCACACTAGGCAGGGTTCCCCTAGCCTTTGCAGTTCCCTTTGACAATGAGTCAGGCAAGAAAAACCTGTACTCTCCCCCTCAGTCCTCCCCGACTTCCCCACTGTACCCAAACCTGAGGGTTCTATTAGGCTTCTTCCTCAGCACCATCAGCCCCTTAGGGACCTTGCGTTCTCCCCTGGGTCCCTTCACCTCCTCCTGCCTGGCCTTTTGGGACCCCTGTTCAGGCCTCCTTCAAACCCATCCCACACGTGGTATATGCCGGTCCCTCTTTCTGGAGCATCTGAGCGTTTCCACATCTTCCACCACCACCACCTGAACAGCCAGTTTACATGATTCCTTCCCCCTCTGCACCTCAAAACTCTGGTAACTTTGTAGCATATCATCTTACTCCAGACTTAGGCCCAGTCTTGTTTTTCAGGGTAGAGTCTATTCATGTGCTCACTCTTTAAGCCAGAAGTGCAGTACCTGGCTCCCCGGAGTACTCGAAAACTGTTTGCTTCATTCAGTGTTTGCTTGTTCCTCCCACACGGCCTTCACACACCTGACCCTAGCTGTGCCATAGCACTCCTTTCCCTGCCTGTGCCCGTGGGGTGGAGATGGGTGGTAAGTAGGCTACTCAGGCCCTGCAGTGGTTTGAAGAAGACCTTTAGGTTAGTCATTGTCCTTTCTGTATTTACATTGATGTTGAAGAAAATGACTGGAATAGTTTTTCAAAAACACTGTCTCGGGTTTCTCCCAGAAGGGCAGGAAGTTTTCTAATGTAAATGATGAAAAGTTTGCAGTGTCACTCATTTCCATTCTCCCGACCTCTGTTTTCACCTGAAAAACTAGGAGTTAGAAAAGCAGCTCTCAAGTCCCTTGCCTGCTCAACTGCAGTGATAGCCCTGACCACAAGGGGGCACTCTGCACACAACACCACCTTTAGGACTATTTCCTCATCACTGCTTCCTGTTAGATGGGGAGGTCTGAGCGTGAGAATTTTGCCAGGCACCCTAGTTCTGCCATAACTTGGGCTGGTCATCACCTTCCCTGTGACATTTCTGCCCAAAGTACCAGTCTGTATTCAGCTGCTGTCCTCCCTCAGGTGGCTGCCATTGGAACACGAAAATTTTCCTCTAGTTTAATCTTATATGGTGACTTGTTTGAGCTTTAAACTTGGAAAGCTAAGAGTCCCAGTAAAATGAGCAGGAAGCTTCAGGTGTAACTAATGAGTGTATCTGTGTATCTATTTAAAAACTTTTATTTATTGATTTTAGAGAAAGGGAGAGAAACATCGATTTGTTGTTCCACTTACTTATGCATTCATTGATTGCTTCCTGTATGTGCCCTGACCAGAGATCGAACCTGAAACCTTGGCACATCAGGATGACACTGAAACCAACTGAGCTAATTGGCTTGTGTATCTATTCTTTGAGGTGAATATGGAAAGAGGATGCAATATAATGGCGGGGGGGGGGGTGCGTGTGTGTGGCCTGACAGTAAAACAATTACTGGAAACATAAGTGATTAGAATGTTAAACTACGATTAGTGATTCGAAATGCATGTGAGACATGCAGTCGGTATAAAGAGAGCCCTGCTCTCTGGCCAGCAGACCCCTTTAAGGCTGCAAGAGTGGCGGGCTGAGAGAGGTGGGCCAGGAACCAGGCTGGCAGGGAGGCCCATCTGGTGCCCAGGGCAAGTTGGCAGCGAGTGTGGTGATGGGCACCTCAGACGGGCAGAGCTCATGCCCTCCCACCCCCAATCTATCAATGGCCTGTGTCCTAGCGGCACCCTCTGTCTTCACACGACCCCTCAGGGAGAGGATGTGCTCACTCAGAGCTCTCCACAGCCTCGGCAGTCCTGGTGTTCCCTGTCAGTGAGCCAGTTGGCATTCTGGCTGCAGACTGCACGGCAAGTGCTAAATGAGTCCGCAGGACCCCACGAAGTGGGAGCATCTGCCCCTGGCAGCTGCCTTCTCCGCGGGCTTTCTGCGGAGTTTTGGGGTGGTTCGGATTCAGAGCCTAGGATTCCATCCAGGACCTGCCAGGTACCCTCTGTGGGACTCTGGACAAATCACTCACTCATCCTCTGTAACCCAGCTCCTTGGGTTTTTGTTTGTTTGTTTGAGATTGTATTTCTTTTTAGAGGGAGGGTAAGGGATGAAGAAAGTGAGAGGGAAGAAACAGTAACCTGTGAGAGAAATATTCACTGGTTGCCTCTCCCATGAGCCCCAACCTGCAACCTAGGCATTTGCCCGGACCCGGAATCAGAATGGAGCCATGCCCATCAGGGCCCGGCTCCTTGCTCTTAAAACAGGGTGACATACCCATAGACTTGCTAATGAAACTAAAGGGGCCTGCTCTGGAGAGCCGGGACACAGGCAAAGACCCTAAGGACGCATGGCTCCAAGTCGTCTTTAGGGTGAGCCTCAGCACAGAGTGCTCCCCGCCCCCACCCAAGCGGCTCATTGCCTCTCCCTACATGCCTTTGGTCCCTCTACCCCACACCGCCAGCCATCCCCAGTGTGAAGCACTAACCAGTCCAGCCTGGCCCCAGTACACGGAGAGCTGCAGGTCCCGAGAGGACCAGGCGAGAGGGGTGGAGCCTGAAGCCAGGTCCTGGTCCAGCTCCGCCTAGCCTGGGGAAAGAGGACTGAGGAGGAAGGTGATGTCACCCGTCCTGCTCGCCCCCTGGTGGGAGCTTACCAGTGCGGCCCTCGGCATCTGACCCCTGGCTAGGACACCAGACTGGGTGTCTTCAGGCCCACTCCACCGATCCTTAAATCTGAGTGACCTTGGGCCAGGCACTTCCTGTCTCGGAGACACTGATCTGTAACACAAAGATAGTAGCACGTGCCCTGCCTGTCTAGTTGAGTACTTTTATCTATCACTCTGCTCACTGTCTTAATTATGTACCATCACCTATAATCTCTCAATAACCACATGGAATGCTAACTATTGCTATGCCCATTTTACTCCAGAAAATTGAGGCTGACAAGGTTAAAGATGGAAAAATATTTTGTAAACTGCAAAGCACCCGGTGAATAGGTCTCTGTCCCTCTGTCCCTGTCTCTCTCTGACACACACACGCACATGGGCAGGGAAGATACAAAGCCTCGTGCCCCCCCCCCCCGCCCCATGCAGGCTCGCTGCACCTTCCTCCCCTACCTCCAGAACATTCCAGAGAGTCATCTTCCCTTTCCACACCCCCAGGGATACCACGTGTCCTAGAATCCTGAACTCCCACGTCACCCTTCCCAGGTGAAACCAGCGAAGCCCTTTCCAGCTAATCTCTGTCCCTCCCAGTAGCAGTTCCAATTCCTTATCTGGGTGCAGGCGGCCAGGCAGGCCCGGGGCCCTGTGAATGACCCAGAAATCCTCAGTTCGGAACTGCACACTGGGGAGTGACTTGTGCCTGGGGCCGAACAGGGAGCAGGTGGAACAGTCAGGTGGGGTAGGGTTGTTTGTGGTGCCACCACACTCTCCTGCCTATATAATCTGCTCTGGGCTGAACCAGTTTGGGATTCAGTTTTACCTTCTTCATTAAAGGGGGTCTGGAACACTGAACAACACTCAAGACAAAAAGGGACGCTTGCGGCATAATGGCATAAAGAGGACAGACGTTTGGGGGCTGGCTGACGATGGCAGGTAGGCAGGACTGAGTCACACCCCTTAGACCACTGATACTGTGCCCGCGGAGAGTCAAGGCACAGTCACATGTGTATTAATAGTACAAGTTACCCGATTTACTATTCCGAAGGGCTTAGGTCACAATTTCTGGCCTCGTC